CTTGATTCTTTGCATAATCCACCATATTTTAAAACATGAACTACTAGTACTATATTTTTATTGTGCTGGGTCAGTAAACACTAAGCAGCCACATGATTGGATACTGATTTGTAATTCCAAGTCATATGCACACACATATGTGGACACACACTTAACCATCACAAATGGTCATCAGGAATCCTCACACAGATTTGAAGGTTTATAACAGAAGTTGTGCTCAGAGGTGTGGTTGAAAAGCAACAAATCACACAGATTTTTTTCCCTTTATACTCACTCACTCACACACACACACACACACACACACACAAACGCATACACACATCTCAGACTGTATAGTGTTCACACAGCCAGAGACATGCGCCTTTGGCTCGAACGCAGGGACACTGCACAGGAATGAGCTGAGGGTATGTATGTGTTGGAGCGGATGTAGTGGAGACATGCACACACATTCACACACACACGCTCCAAGCTCCCAGGCAGGAGTATGCCAGGTATTTGCATAGAGAAGGGTTTCCCTCTTTGTTGTGCTTTTTAGCTTCTGGAAACCTTGGGTTTGCAATAAGAAAAAAACACACACACACACACACTCACAGATACGCAGAAACATGGCTGTAAGGATATAAAATCACCTGTGACAAACACAATGCCTTACAGTGCCCTGGGCTGCATCCTCCAGCAGTAAGCACTGAGTCTGGCTGTACATGAATGTTCTGTATGTGTATACTGAACTATTGTGTTTCCAGTCCACTTCCAGAGCCACTGGAGAGTTTTTAAGCAGAATTAATAATCACATTTTAGGCATAAAGTTGTTGCTCTCTTGCAGAATACGTAAGAAAAATGCAAAAGAAGCGTTATCTTAAAACAGCGTAAAATGATATTACAAGAAACAAAAATAAAAAGTCTAAATAAATGTGTAAAAGTGAGATTATAACTAATATATTAGGAAAAGGGTTGATACAAAGTGTGTCGGTGTGACACTCTTATCCATTTGGCTGCGAGCAGAGTCCAGATGAGATGAGCTCTTTAATATTTCATACCAGGGCATCGACCCTCTGTCGTGCAACTGGGGCCTCCGAGACCTGCAGATGTGTCGCATCTCCCACAGGCCCTGAACACACACCAGAACACACACACGTACTGCATATACAGTACATTCTAATAATGTGTTGTGTGCTCTGTCCTCAGATTGCCCGGCAACAGCAGCAGCTTCTGCAGCAGCAACACAAAATCAACCTCCTGCAGCAACAAATCCAGGTGAGGCCTGTTAGTGTGTGCACACATGTGTGTGTCCATCAACGTGTGTTGTTGTGTGCATGTATATTTTTCTATGTGTGTGTGTTTTTGGGCCACAAAGGCAATTTTGTGATTGTGATTGTTACAGCTTTTCCTCGCTCAGCCATCAGCATTTGGGGCCTGAATCAGCGTTGACTTATTATAGCTCCTCCTCTAACACACACACACACACGCATAAATATGGACAACTCGCTTAAAATATCTTAAGAGCTGTCTTTTACTCACTCATGAATGATATGAATAAATGCATGCATGTACAGACAGTTACAAATGCATGACCCCTCACAGAAACAAACATTTGCTGTTACAGCACACATTCCCTCAGAGATTAAACCAGCTCTAGATTAAAGTAATTAGCTGCTGATTGGCCTCTGTCATCATCTATCTGCTCACAAAACAGAGCGAGAGAAGTTTAAAACTCCTAATTGGCACAGATGACTGATGGTCTTAACACAGGAAGAGCGAACTGGCAGCGCAGGCATCTGTGATTTTTAAAAATAAACACACAGCATACGTACAATATGCTCCCATACTGACCCAATCCAGAAACCCAGGACTCAATGTGAGTGTCAAATCTGTGCCCTGCAGAAATAGTTGTGGGTAGCATATGTGGCAGAGCTGGGGGTCGAATCAATTTCAGCTGAGAAGGTAAATGATTAGCTAAAATTAATTATTTTAATCAGGATACCAGTTTCAAGTGGATTTTCATTAGATTAAGTGTATAATTTATGTTATATGAATGTTATAGTAGAAATGTCAAATATATTAACATAAAAGCAGGATCAGGGAAGAAACAAATAATAGAAAAAAAGTTCTGTAGATTCGATATTTTCCATCAGTTTATTTTAGTTTATTTTTCTAAAAGACAAATAATTGAGAGATAACAGAACGTTTCAGATGAGGAAAAAGAACAGCAGTTAGAGAGAGAAAGGTGTGCAAACTAAAAGTTTGTACCATATGCAGTGTCAACTTGCTTTGAAATTCACTTCACACCTGAGACTTACCTGATGTTGTTCGAATGCCCCTCACCCCTCCCACTCGGTTATAAGCTTGGGGGCAACTGGCAGGAAGAAACATGCACCATCTCTCTCTCCTTACCCACCCTTACCAAGAAATCTTAAGAGAACTTTTCTATTGTCTTCTTACTTCCTCACCTCTTTTCCTCATTTCTCCCTCTCCTCTCCTCTCCTCTCCTCTCCCTGTCTCTGTGCTCATGGGCCATTAGATCAGATGCCTAGTGAGAGAGGCGGCCATTGAGGTGGAAAACAAAGCCAAGCTTTTTTAAACTCAGGGGGGGGGAACTAGGGCTTGAAATGGAACTGCAGGGGGGCTTGTGCCCATCCGGTGTCCGCCTTCATATACACACCATCACCAGCCTCACTGCTTTTCTCCTCTGCTCCCCTCTGCCATCCACCCACTTCTTTCTACATTTAAAACGTCCTCTTTATTCTCCTAAACCCTATTCTCCAACTTCTATATGTCCTCTTCTCTTTCATTCTCCATTCTTAATCGCCTGTGTCTTTGCTTACATCTCCTTATTTAAAGACTGCAATTAACAACATCACCGTCCGGGTTGTGTCAATGTGTTTTCAACCTGGTTCACACAGCATATGCATA